AACAGACAGGAATGCATCACCAATAATTGATAAACTACATTAACCTAAAACCCACATCAGTAGAATAGAAGCTATGGGAATACCTGGGGGGGTGTCTAATGAGTTTCAAGTCACACACAGGATCTAGAAGACGCACCTCTACCCCTGCTGGAGCAGAGAGGGATGACACAGAAGAGGAGAGACCACCTGTCAACAACCTGAGCGGCGCCAAAGGAACCGTGAGCAGTGACCAACAACCGTCATCTCGCTGAGAGGAAGGACTTCCTCAGCCCAGAGTCTGCTTGACCACCGTGCAGGACCAGGAGGAAGCATCAGGACCGACCGCAGCAGAACCAGCACCGCAGAGCCGGACCAGAAGCAAGACAAGCATCGTTCTAGGAGAACCAGAAGCAAGACTAGGACCGATTCAGAAAGGGTCCAAGCAACCTTCCAGTCTCCCTTTTGAGGGACAGCACAGTTCCAAGACCACCTCACACTAATGGGGGACAACGACAGCCCAGCACAGGCATAACCTCAGACCCACGGGTCACATCAGAGCCATCGATTTCCAGTACAGACACTCCCAAGTTCCCAAGCCCCTCTACAAACACTGCCCCATGGACAACAACAACCATTTAGCATAAGAGATATTGAGAATGATCGAGAAAACACCCTCACACACAAATGGAGGTGAACCACTGCTGAAAGCTCTCACTAAAGAACCAGCAGAGAACAGTGACATGGACAACCGCTTCTCAGGTTTATTGGACTCATGATTTAGTAAATACAAACAATTGTTTATTTCTGTGATAACAGTCTCCATTATGGTCAGCATTCTATTCCTAGGTGGATGCTGTTGCATCCTCTGCATTAGGACACTTATCATTAGAATCATCAGAGAAGACCAGCCCCATAATGCCATTAGGTTTTATTAAATTAATGTGTCCTATGTCAATTTATACTGTACACATGACATCCGTGATGAAATGTTAAATCCTGGGAGAAGATCTTTCAATCTCTCCGACAGGTTTCTTCCTCGTTTTATTCCCAAAAAGGGTTTTCGAGGGAGTTTTTGTTCTGTGCCAGGTACAAGTTAACAAGGTGTGTCCAGAGGCACATCTTATGATTAGAATGTGTAAGATCAAGCGTGTCATATTGGATCGAACGTTATGCTAAACAAATAGAGACGACACATCTGACAAAACTGAGGAATTTGATGAACCGATCCCTCTGATTGGTTTTTACACCAAAATTGTTGTAAAGGGATGGATTGTAGGATATTAGAAACAAAAATACGACCCGGTTCATAAAATTAATAAAAATGCATATAGTGTACACCAGAATACAGCCATGATTCTGAAACTGTAATCAATAAAGTAATGACAATATTGTAAAACTACTGTAAATCTGCAACTGTAATAGAACAATACCAATGTACAGTTATGATTGTATTTGATGTAATGTAATCAACTGGAATGCATGCATGTAATACTTGAACAACAACTGATATTGACTAAGGATCATCCGAAATCCGAGTTACATTGAACTCACCAGAAGACCACTCCCAGAGGTGTGGACACTGACTTTCACACCTTTAAGCATTGTTATAAATACCTGTAGGAACCATTGTTCTCGAGTTCGCTGGTGGAGACGACAGACGGGCACTAGGGATGGTCAAAGGAGAAGTACCAACGAGAGTGGGAGGAATCATCGGCGGATAACGAGTCGATGTGAATAAAACAAGTCTCTCATCTGTCAGAAGAAGGGTCACAGGTCACAAGTACATTCTTGGTCATTACCTAACTGATCTGGGTGTGCTGTAAACAACTTCGCAGGGAAGAAAAAGAGAACAAAATTGAGAAACAATCAATAACATTATTGAGAGAAAATTAAATGGTAACTGGACTTGCTTTCATACGGTGCCTTTCTAGTTGTTTGACCCATCAAAGTGCTTCACACTACATTCACACGTCCATACACTGATGGAAGAAGCTGACATACAAGGGCTGACAAGATCCCTCTTGATCATAGGATCTAAACAGACGGTGTGCACACTGTGTTATGCTGACAAATTCCACTGGTTGGATTGAGGACACAACCTCTGATGACTGAAAAATGTAGACAAACTGGAGTCTTGACTTTACAGTGGTGTAAACCGGCAAAGAGGGAAAGCTTCCGTCACACAGTGGACTCTAACCCATAAACATTGCATTATTGCAAAACATTGCAAAATCCAAAAAGTGACACTTATTGCTCTTTAAATGAGCATATCATCAAAGGGGGGAAATGTTAAGTAGCAACGCGAAGCCATCTTGGAATTACTCCCTCACATTGAGAGCAGCTTAACAACAAAGAAGTGACAAGCATAAAGAGCCCTGAGTGTCAGGAACAATGTGACGGACATAATAGTTTGAATGTCAAGGGCGAAAAAAAAAAAACTCAGACAGTCATACAGGAAGCAATGAGACGTGCTTCAAAGGGCTTCAGTGAGGTCCACACCACGAGGCCCAGGCAGTGAGGAAACAGGTGCGAGGGCACATTCCCCCACACACACAGTGCTAAGGTACACAAGCGGGGTCCACTCATGACGTAAACAGATATCACCCAGGGCCTGGTGGGGCTGCCTCACCCCCCACACAGCCATGCTTAAATAAAACATTGTGCATGGTTCAAATGTCTGTATGACCACAAAGTAACTGGAGGCGTAAATGCAATGATGTGCACATGGGCAAGCCTTTGAATACTGCGTGAATAAGAACATTTCAGTACTTTAACAACAGCAAGAATCAGCTAAATGGATGACAGCGATGCATCTATCATGAATATAGTGCATCGATCTACCTTATATTGACATGGCACTAAATAAAATAAAGCAGAGGGAGAATTACTTTTCAAATTCTGCTGTATATTTATATTTATTTATATTGCTGGATACAGTAGAACAATTTTATCTAACAAACCAACCAGTTCCGATCCCATTCTCCACAATTGTGTATTTGACTATACCCAATACATCCACCAAGTGCCCCGCAGACCCGGTTTTAAAGAGGTTTACTTGTTCCTGCTTGAGGGGACGAGACTGGATCCCGTACAACTCTGGTTACACACAGACACTCACTACTCAAGCTGCAGGGGGATTCACAGGAAAAGTCATCTCCAGGTCAACACTGGGTAACTTGACAACATGCATTACATGCCTACGTGTAAAAGCTGAACAAACTGGGATTTATAAGAAGGCCCTTAGGCTTATGATGGAAAATGGTTGGAAAAAACTTGTGGAGGAAGATTTGCTTCACTGACAAGATGCTGATGGTGGCGTTTCACTCTTTTGCATCCAAAGCCAAAGACCCATCATATGGTCCAAATGCAACTCACACAGTAATCACAGACAAACTGCATGCAGAATTTAGCTCACAGCATGCTAAACTACCACCCTGCAGAAAACTGGTGATTCCACCTCCCCAGTCCAAGTTGAGGTGTGTGTCCCAGCCAATGCAGCGTGAACCTATAGGTGCAGTGACACAGTTGGAAGAAACCAAAGCCTAGCACGTCTAGATCTTCCCTCCTCACCACAGAGGAATTGTGGTGCGGGCTCTGACAAGCCCGTCATTTGTTGGAGGAAGGGTCCCTCGTTGACTGAATACTTCACTGCCAGGCAGCCATATCAACTGCTGGGTGTCTGGGGCGTCTGAGCCACAGCAGACCCTTTAGCAGGAAATGTTGTTTCCTCCCTAGTCCAAAAATGAGGGCTCTGACTCCCCGTCCACATGACACTGTACGTGCTGGCCGCGGACCTATCAATGACCTCTGCATCACTTACAATGAATCCTTTATCTTTAAAGGTCTGTCTGTTTGTACTGGCCCTTAATGACAGGTAATGAAGTGCTACGTTGAAATTAAATTACCTTCTCGGGTTAGCATATTCATCCAGTTACATTTAGAAGCTATGCAGAGTAGTGCTATAATACAATCTGTACCTTCTTTTTCTAATCGTGTTTTTTTCCTACCATTTTAGGAGAATGCAGTAATAAACAAAGTGATGGTAGATCTGTCATATACTCCTGTGATAATATGTTGATTTTTGGATTGTATCGTTGATTAAAACCTATTTGTACAGACATGTAAACACATCAATATGAAAGACACTTATCTGGTAATTACAAATGAACATCTGTAACCTTTATTTACATACTCTATCAACTTAAATTATACTTCAGGGAAAAAGCAATTCCCCTAATCTATGTACTGATGATTTCTATCCTGATGATCCATCAAACATCTCTTTTAATCTTTTTAAAAGAGAACTTTTTTGAGTAATGAAAAATGAAGTGAAAACATGAATATATTTAAGTTGATATTTAATATAGTATCTATTACATGTCCATACTAACTGATATGTGCTGTATGGCAAACCACACTTCTGCTACAAAACAGTATGTGACCATCCAAAGTTATACGTTACCGAAAAATGAATGCCGCCTCCTTTCTTCAATATGAACATGCCAACAGAAAAACACACCAACTTGTGTGACAAATTTCTTCAGTATTTAGAGTGGCTTCTCTGGGATGACATGCTTCTGCTAATCATTCATAAAATCAGGAATAGACATGGTAGAGTCTGACAGATCTGTGGGGACACGAAACAGAAACGATTACTGACTGGATTGCTACCTGCCCGTACTTCTTCATTTGAATGAGGAAAAGTTTCTTATTTTGCCTTAGGTCTCATCTCAAAGCTACCGTGCAGTTTTCCAGTAACTGTAACCATTTGGAGCCATTAACATTTTCCAGATCGCTTTCATTCTTTTTTTCTTCCTGTTAAACCAAAGCTTTAACAAAAGACTGCGTGTGCCCCTTGTGGGCTCATACTATCTGAAATTATGGGTGAAAAACACAATAAATCAAGTCAGTACAATTCAACAACTACCTGGTTAGAAATCATAACACATAGGATTGATGGTGACAGCAGAATTCAGATGAAACAATGAGGATAAAACATAAGCGTCAAGTGTAGCACTGACCCAGTGGCTTGTGTTCTTCATTCGGGGAAAGCCGTGAATAAGGAGGTGGGGGTGACTCTGCAACACAAAACAATTCAAGTCAATAAAATAATAAAAAGGGAGGAAATGTTGTTTGAAGAAACACGGGTAAAACTCAATTCCTACTTTAATATCACTAAACATTAGAAACTCATATTTGAGCATTTTTAACTTAAATTAAGTATTCTACTATTAAAGCATGTTTATTTAACTGAAGCAGCCAGCACTGAAGGCTGGCGCATGCTTCTGCGTCTGTGTATTTCCGCACCGTCGTGTCGACGCACTCGTTTCAATCCATGGTTCTAAAAGTCTTGCGTGTGTTGCAGAGCAAATCACCTCCAGAACAACAGGTGGAGTAATGTGTTTTTGTCGAAGACGAGCTAGAGAGTCACGTCTTTGTGTGTGGAAGTCGTTGGTTTGTTTATTTATTTATCATAGACTTTATTGCTCTGTGCATCGCCACTGTTGCTTTTCATCCTGGACACATTTGTCCCATATTTTCCTCCACAACTTTGTTCCCCTCGACCGGCAAACCGGCGTTTGTGGAGATCTCCCTCCATGAATCAGAGGCCATCCGCGCGTCCTTATAGTCCGCCAACGACGGCTTGTATAAGTGGTCATATTTATGCTTTTTTTTTCCGACAAAAGTTCTTCAATCTGATCCGTTCTCTCGTAAAGATTCTTCGTTTTAATAATGGCGGTATCAGGCTATGAAAACGGAAATGTGAGACTTCGTAAAGGACGTAGTTAGCAGACCAATCACAGCCTTGCGGGCTGCAGGAGGCTTCCGTAACTTTTGACGCAAGCCTAGAAAAATGGGTCGACGCACGCAAGCACACAAGGAGGTGTGAAAAAGCCTGCAAGGGACACGCAAGGGGCTCTTGCGTCTGCGTGTCCTTGCGTTGCTCTGGAAATGGCGAAGCATAAGCTAGGCTTGAGTCACAACAACCACAGAGACAAACTTTAAGTTTGTCAAATCCGATAAAATATCTGCGTTTTAACTAAACACTTTGTTCTTATTGAATCCAATGAAGAGAGGAGAAATTAAGAAATTAACTTGCAAAAGAAAGAAAAAACAAAGAAAGAAAGCTTTGCGAGCACAAAGTGACCTCGCCTGCAGAGAAAAGGGGGAAGGAGAAAAGCATAATAGCAGCGGGTCCTTTAAGAGTGGCGGCAGTAATTGCTGGGATTTGAACTCAGTCACTCAGATATAGACAGCTAGTCAGTCTGGCGCCAGTAGTATGCAAACTGTATATTATCACCACTCCTTCACCTAAATAGCATGAGGGGACCTCCTAAGGACAAAAGGGCGTTTAGTTTAGTGATATTATTCACAAATCAAACTCAAATAGATTTTACATTGTCAAATTCTCCAGTCCTACTGGTTTTTAAGCATATGTTTCATTTAAAACACATTTCATGTGATAAATGTTGGTTTGACGGATCTGTTGCTTTCCCCATTTGATGAGCGCATGTGAGATATGTCTACTACGAGCCTGAGTCCCAATATGGGGTGTGTGGCCCTCTCCCTCTCCGGAGTCAGTGGGGTCGAGTGGCCTTGCATTTAAGGGTAGCCAAATCACAGGCTCGCCCCCCTGCCAAACATGAATCTGTTTAATCAGGGAAGTTCTGCCATAGATAGCTCATTGATTGTGAAGCTTAATACCCGACCACAACAACCAAACGGATCTCAGCCACCAGGTCCAAACCTCTGATTGAGTCTTTACTGTCATGTTATACTCTGTTGATAGTTCAGTCTACCTGGCAACAGACCTGCAGCCAACAGATAATATCTGAAAATGTCTGTGATGACAATCACACTAAGACACACTGAAGATGTCATGTTGTTAGGGAATTTATGAAATACATAATGCTAGAATATCGATAAGGATAGACGTGGTGCTTCATATAAAAACCCAGGTTTTGAAGGCTTAGCAATGCTCTGGAGTACACCTAACAGTTCTAAGGCACTTTCAAGGCAACTAAAATTGCCAACATAAGTGACCAACATATTAAAACAAAGCAATATTTTCTCCTTTCTTCTGAATATACTAATCTTAATTATAAGAATTAAATGGTCCTTGGCTCATAAGGATTTCAGTCTTCACCTTAGTTGTCATGAGGGTGACTTATGATGAGTAATCACTATTGATCAAATCGCTCAGTATGAAAGCAACCCAAACAACACCACATAAAATAAACATGGGGATAGTGAAATATTTTCAGTGCATCTATCTAGGCATTCCACCGTTTTGGGATCTTGACAATTTCATGAATCTATGTTAATATGATCATTTTAGTTATCTTAATAGAAATTAGGTAAAGGGACGAAATTGGCCAAGCTGTTATATATGTGCAGCATTTACTTGAACGTTTATAGAACATAGGCATGTCTGCAAGTAAAGGTGATAAGTCTACAAAACTGTGGTCAAGAACAGAATAGTCCAAGAAAACCTATGGGGATACCATGCACATAGACCGAGGTGAGACTTGGACGCTGGTGACAGCGAGATGCTGCATGAACACACTTTAGATGCCCTCACCTGGCCCACACAGCCGGCTGTAGTGATATGGGTTGCAGCATAACGTTGGACCGTCCAGAGCCCCGAAGCTCCTACACTCACAGAGTGGTTTGAGCTGCGCGGAGAGCTGCAGGTCGGACCAGCGGTACAGTTTGCACACCAGCAGCTGTGGGGAAGCCACATGGCCGCCCAGCCTCAGCTCTGTGCGGGGAATCATAACACAGTCACTCGGCATCCCTCCCCTGGACTCCACCGCCTCCAGAAAGGTATCCAGCGCCCTTTCCTTGAGCCTTTTTAAAAGAGAGTATGTGGCTGATTTCAGTTCTTGCTCCAACACCGAGCGCGGCATCGCCTCCTGCGCCTCGGGAGAGCCGCTATCCCGCGGCCGGAGGTTCCTTAACACGAAGTGACACGACCCTGGATCCGCGGTCCCCTGAGCCGTCTCTGGACCCGTGAGCTCGGAGTGGTCCCGGTCTTTAAATAAGCAGCACGTCACTGTCCGGCAATCTCTGTCCTGTGCGCAGCGGGGGCTCCCCTGCTCCTGGGCGCACACCGCAGCCCCATCCGCGCTTCGTGCGCACACGCCCCCTAAGTCCCCTCCAGGAGACCCGCTAGGGGTCATCGGTGTGAGCTCCCTTTTGGGGATTTTCTCTGGGTTGTTTCCGAACAGATCGTCCCGACAGCGGTCACTAGTTGTGCCATTTCCATCTTCCCCTTCTCTATCTGGGATCAAACGGCTTCTCCAGAGTCGCCGCACGAGACCTGATCGTTTCGTCCTGAACATACGACAACTTGAAAATCTATATGAGGGTTTTATTCTTGCACGGATATCCGAATGTTACAGACACTTCTGCGGTCATTACAAAACATTGATATCTGTGAAATGCCGTGCAATGTATGCTTAGAGGAAGGTTGTTTTGTTGCATTTAAAACGACAATATCGCGCAATAAATGCACTGCAAGATTCCGATCAAAATGCATTCACTGAGCAGAATGTGCTGTAAATGACCAAGCGGGTGAAATGGGGATGTATTATTCAGGATCGCAACGTAATTGACTTACTGAATGTTTGTTACGAACGAACGAAAACGGTAACAAATATAATAGCATCACATAATGTTCTTAGAGACATAATCCCAAAACCAGGAGCCGTCCAGCAAAGACGGCAACTCGCACACTGAAGCCGTTTTCGGACTTGTAACACGCTCTGTTCTACTTTCTACACCGGCACGAACAGCATGAGGTTTAACTCCAGGATCCTTGTCGTCTTCTTTGTGAGAGCACTTTTTTTACAATCCCAACAAAATATCCACGGCAGTAGAAATTACAGGAAGAGGAACAATCCGGGAATGAAGCGCGCTGCTGCTTCTCTCCTCAGGTGTAAAAGCAAACTGCAGACCGGGTCCCTTCCTTCTCCATGGTTCTCCTTTTTTCTTTTTTTCTCTCCCCCGCTTCCTCACACAGACACGCACACACACGCGCGCGCACACACGCACGCCCGCACACACACACATACACACATGCACGCACACAAAAACACACACGAGGCCCCCGAGAAGAGCGGTGGAGCCATTGGCTGACTACCATCACGTGTTAGTCTAGACACTTTGGCGGCTGTGCGCTTCAATGATTGTTGCGCAAACAAGGTTAATGTCATGACAACTTATTTACATCTGCACTGCCAGCAGCTGTGATTGTTGGGTGGAAAAAATAACTAAGGAACCTTAATGCAAGCCTGCTTTGGGGTTTTTTAATTCCCTGCTAAAAAGGCACCTTTGCTTTAAAAACTAAAACAAAAAAAATTAAAGCTGCGAGCAGCGTTGAACGGGTCGTCGCAACTCTGCACGTCGGAGCACAGGCCGGACGGCTGGAAACGCAGCCAAGAACTCCTGCGGTCGTCGGACAAAGCATCCAAGAGTGAGTTGTCGTTAACCAGGTGGAGCGACGAGAAATGTCATAGATCACCAAACCTTCTCTTAAATCTCATTCACCAGCCTTAAAATCAATTTCAGATGGTATTTAAAAAGGAAACGACCAATAGTTACATGATAATTCCACTTCAGGTTCATACTACACATCCCCAAGGTGTCACCTATGGATAAGCAAGACATTCTGATCTTCTATTCTTAATTGAAAGCCTCTCAAAATACCATACCTGAGCCGATTTTCTCAAAATTCTCCATCACAAGACTACGTTTCAGGTTAGAATTAAAAGGAAACTATCGATACTTACATGATTATTTCACTTCAGACTGATAATACACATCCCCAAGGTGTCACCCAAGGATAAGCAGGATTTTCTGATTTACTATTCCAAAATTAAAGCCTCTCAAAATACCATGCATGAGCCAAAATATCAATCACAACACTACATTTGGTCAATTTCAGATTAGATTTAAAAGGAAAAAAATCTATAGTTAGACAGTATTTCCACTTCAGGCAGAGAGTACACATCCCCAACGTGTAACTCGGTGATAACCAGGACCTTCTGATGTACCATTTTAGAAATTAAAACCTCTCGAAATGCCACCTTCGTTGTTTACTGGATACTAGAAAATTTGACTTCCGGTTACCAGTAGGTGGCGCTATGATTTGATCAAACTTTACATCTCTTCAGGCCCAGAGTGTCATCAAACATCTACGAATTGGAATAAATCCGATGATGTGGAGTAGTGACAACGGTTTAGTGGTTCTTGGCGAATGATCAGCTTTGCCGATGCACCCTCTCACCAATGATTAGCGGATTCTTATAATATTCACAGTGAAGCATTATTAAGGTCTTAACCTTCTGCTAGGAAATTTTGAGAGGAATCCGATTAACCTTTGAGGGGCATATCCTGTGAGGAGCAGGGTGTAAAATAAAAAAGCATTCAACTTCCTGTTTTCCCCCAGGTGGCGCTATGACTAAGGTTAAAAATTATCATATGGATGTCTACAGAGGGAGAAGTTCATGCTATATGAGAAATATGGAGCAGATTAGATAAAGTATGGTTTAGTTAAAACAACTTCAATTTTTATGCTGAAAGGTGGTTTTTCAAAAATGCTAATGCACACATAATTTTTAGAGGTAAGGTCCTCGAGATCACACTGCGCGAATTTGAAAAGAATCGGTTGTAATCCCTGGGAGGAGTTCGGTCTTTTACAAGGAAAAAGGAAATCACAAAAATAGGCCAAAAAGGCAGATTTTCAACGATTAATTGCAGCAGACCATATTCTTCAAATATTCTGAAAAAATTAGGTTGTGTTCAGGGGTTCAATGTTCACATGTGTTACAAGTTTGGTGAGGGCAGGCCAAATCATTTGGAAGTTACGAGTCTTACCAGATTAAGCCACACCTCTTGCCAAGTTCATTAGCCCATAATTTCTCAAAAGAATGAGATATCAACAGGATCCTAGTTGGGGCATGGGGGAATTGACCCAATAAGGATCCACCGAAAATTTTGTGACAATCGGACATAGCGTTTAGGAGAAATGGCCAAAAACGTGTTTTTCACATAATTCAAATTGGTGGAAAATCTCGTTAGGCGCATTTGCATACCGTGATTGACTTTTTTGTAGAGCATGTCTAAGAGCACATTTGTGCCAAATTTCAAGTCAATTGGGCATCAGGGGGAAAAACTGTCCTAGTGTGGTACTTTTCAACTTTCTAGGGGGCGCTATGGAGACTTTTCTTAGTCTATTCTCTTATTCAGATAATAACACACGATTCCTGATCTGTACCGACAGTTTGAAACTGTTTTGAGGCAATTCCGACCAACGGTGCGGGAGGAGATGCGTGCCAAACTTTGTACGGAGGGAGAATAATATAGAACTAGAAAATGCATTTCCTGCTGAAAATGCGTTGGAATGCAAAAAGCTGAAAGCTGAAATGAATTTTTAAAAATAGCTGAAATTACAGAAAGTTGAAGGGAATTTGAATACATTTGCTGAAATTACAGATATTAGAAAAGCTGAAATTAATTTGAAATTGCTGAAAATACAGAAATGGGAGAAGCTGAAAGGAATTTCAATAGATTTGCTGAAAAAGCAGAAATGAAAACAGCTGAAATAAATGTGAAATATTGCAAAACAAAACAGAAGTTGCAGGAGCTTAAATGAATTTTAAAAAGTACAGAAATAACAAAAGCTGAGACGAATAAAAAGAGGTTTAAAGTTGTTTGTAGTAATAGTAGTAGTAGTATTAGTTATAGTTGTTTTTAATCTTGCAGTATTAAAGTAAATATACCGCATTTTCTGCACTCCAAGGCACACTTAAAAGGCTTTAATTTCCTCAAAAAACGATAGTGCTTTATAATCCGGAGCGCCTTATATATGGATCAATTGGTTAATCGGTTGATCCATACTGGTTGTACACGGCGCTCAAGGCGCTCTGCCAAACATGCCAAAGCTAGTCTACGACGGCGAGATGCTGAGCGGCGCTCAAGCGCGTGAGATTTGGAGCTTGTTTCAAGGCGCGTCGGAGAAACAAAGCTGTCGTTCTCGCCGAGCACTTCATGAGATTAAAGAGCGAGAGACGGTGCCCTTTTCTCTACAGTAGCTGAACCATCTTAACGGGGAAAATAAGTTATTCCAAAAGCAGCCGAAGATTTAAGGCGTGGATGGCGAGGGGGGCGGCGGGAGCGGACGCACCTCGCGGCATCGACCGGACCCTGTGTCAGGGGAGAATTTGTTGAGGTGCATGTTGTGAGAGTCTCAAGAACTTGTATGTGACCTTTCTTGGGAAACTCGTGACCTGACCTAGTCTACGATGAAATCCATATGTGGCTTGGACAGACCATATCATGTTCTTCTATTTACCTTTCTCCTCTGTTTTCCTGTCTGTCAAAATGATTGATTTGGTCCCACTAAGAGGGTCGTGGAGGTTCCCGAAACAACATCTGGTTAGCATTCCTCGAACCTTCAGAGATGTATAAAAGCTCCTCGTCCCCCATAGAAACTTTGTCAGATCTTCCTGCTCCTTTTGGGGAAAGGAACTTTCTGTCCCTTTTCAGCTGAATTGTAGTCATTTGACTTCTGTCTGTGCTTACGGCTTGTGCTGATGATCTCTGTATTCTTTATCATTTTTCTATATTATAGTTAGTAATAAATACTTAATCACAAAGCAAGCTCAAGATACTTTTGATTTCTCACATGGGCTAAATCCACAAATTTCCACCACAAACTTGGCGACGAGGATGGGATGGACGCGTGATCTGGACTCTGACGGACGGACAGGAGGCCATATAGTATAGGTGATTCCTCCCTGAGGGTGAGAAGCTGCCGTCCCGACGAGACCCGGATTACCGATCCATCCAGTTCAAGAAAAGAAACGAAGAACACGCGGTGAGAGATCAAAATTATTTTAGGGCAGACAGAGTCATGACAAAATGGTTTTAGGCCTATCTCACAACGAGTGTGTTGTAGGCAGACGTGTCTGGGTCACCTGTAGTATTTTCTCGAGTTGCATATCCTGTGTCTCCTGAAAATTCACAGGCCAACTTTGGATAAATGCAGTAGACTGAGTGGCCAGAGAAAGCAACGGTCACTGACTTGCCTTAGTTATACGTGTGGTATTTCTCCGGTTGTGCGCACCTTTATAGGCGCGTACACTCCTTGTGTACAGATACGGATATCTAAATGAGTAGTGTTCAGAGTAAAGGGGAGACGGGTGAAAACCATGAGACTAATATCCTGCCACCATTGTGTAAATTTATGTCAGAGCGTTATCCTGGCAGTTTGAATCAAATACAAAAATGGGTTGAATTGGGGTTTCCTTCAAAGGGGAGTTTGAGTGAGAATCAATTGGAACAGTTGGAATTGCAACTGAGGGAAAAGGAGAAGAACGATGCAGCTCAGCATGCAGGCCTGTCGGGAAGAAAGCAGAAGAAGAATGTGGTATGTAAGGCAGATTGGGAAGCTTTCAAGATGTGGAAGTATGAGTCGGAGAGAAGGGAGAGACAGAGGTTGGTAGCATTTAATTCATTAAAGACTGAAGATCCTACAAAAAGTTTTGAAATGTGTACCCCTTCTAACCCAAAAGCACTTTATCCTTGTTTTTATGAGTTCCTGAGGAGATTGGTGGACACGGATCTGGACTCCCCCCCTCCCCTCACTGCTACTCCAGCTCCAGCCTTCATGAACATGAGCTGCTGAGTCTCCTCAGCAGGAAGCAGCACAAGCAAACTTTCCTCGGTTTGACAACAGCCCACCAGGAGGGAAGCCAGATTCAACCTCCAACACCAGCCACATGACCCTTTCACCTACTGTGACCCGCCTGCAGGCTCAACAAAGGCGGGCCTTGCTCAGAGAAGGGAAAAAAAACGTTGTTCGATCCTGCAGCTTCTTTTCCAGTGGAAGGGGCGCAAGGGCCGATGATGGTCTTCAGACCCTGGTCAGATACCGATGTGACCAAGGCAATGAGCCACGTCTGCAGTCCCAAGGACAATCTTGCTAAGT